TTTGATAGAATATTTTTCCTTGATTTATAGAAATTTAAATAACAGTCAGCCAGTCTTCAGCAAAAAAAAATTAATAAAATATAAACTGTGCACCTTAGATAAAATAGTAGATATAAAATTACTTCCCTCTGTATATCATACAGCACATCCTCCAGAGAAAGATAAATGTGATCATTGTGATAATAAATTTGATCCAAATCTTCATGAATGTGATGGGGAAGTATTAATTTGTGATCATAGTTACCATTATGACTGTTTTGAAATGTTAGAAAAATGTTGCAGTCATTGTACAAGATTTTATGAAAATGGTATAATTGATAATGTTGCCTCTTTCCTAAAAACATTAGAGAAAGATGATTCAAAAATATTAGAAAATAATAATGAAAATGACAAAAATTGTGAAGATGATAATGATGATGATCAAGAAGTCATAAATAGATTGCTTACAAATGCTAAAAATGAAATAAAAAATTGGTAGATTGTTTATATAATAACAAATATATTTTTAATAAAATTATTTATATGTTTAATTCTACAATTTAATATTTTACATATATACATATATATATATATATAGCTATAAATAAATACCTCCATAATAAAACTCCACAGGTATTGACATATTAGAGATGCCACATGTTTAAACAACAATCTATGTTTAAGTAAATTCTACAATTTAATATTTTACATATATACATATATATATATATATAGCTATAAATAAATACCTCTATAATAAAACTCCACAGGTATTGACGTATTAGAGATGCCACATGTTTAACAACAATCTATGTTTAAGTAAATTCTACAATTTAATATTTTACATATATATGTGTATATATATATATAGCTATAAAGAAATACCTTTATAATAAAATCATAGTTACCATTATGACTGTTTTGAAATGTTAGAAAAATGTTGCAGTCATTGTACAAGATTTTATGAAAATGGTATAATTGATAATGTTGCTTCTTTCCTAAAAACATTAGAGAAAGATGATTCAAAAATATTAGAAAATAATGATGAAAATGACCAAAATTGTGAAGATGATAACGATGATGATCAAGAAGTCATAAATAGATTGCTTACAAATGCTAAAAATGAAATAAAAAATTGGTAGATTGTTTATATAATAACAAATATATTTTTAATAAAATTATTTATATGTTTAAGTAAATTCTACAATTTAATATTTTGCATATATACATTCAATGGACAAAAGTTTGTACCCAAAAATTATTTTATATTTTTACAAAATCCTACTAAATAAATAATTATGATTTTTACACCATTTTAAAGTTATGGTTCTTGATAAAGTTTTTTATTATGGTTAAATCTTTATTTATGAAGTTTTTGTTATGATAAAACTAAAAATGAAATCAGCATTAAAATTACGAAATTGATGATCGTTTTGTTTTTGTCTTGCACTTTTCTAAAAATTATGCCAAATAAATAATTGCAATTTTTATATCATTTGAAAGTGTTGGTTCTTAAAAAAAAATTTTATTAATACCAAATTTTTATTTTGCGAAATTTTAATTATGATAACATTAAAAATAAATTTGGCATTAAAAATTATGATCATTTTGTTTTTTTTTTTAAAAAATGGGAATAAATCGTAAATTAACAGTAGCTGAATGCTCACAAATTATTGGTCTTTTCAAAGGCAGTCACAAAAAGTCTGACATTAGTAAAATTCTTGGATTTAAAGTTTCAACTGTAAAAAAAACCATCCAGCATTATGGTGATTCAGAAATGCCAGTAAGCAAAAAAAGAATTGGTTGGCCCAAATTGCTTGGTGAGGATGAAAAAAATATTTTGGGGGAAATCATTAACAGTAATAACCGAACACCAGCTAGTGAGATAAAGGAATCCTTTTATCAATCAACTGGTTTAAATGTCTCAACTAAAACAATTTATCGAAATTTGCACCAAATTGGTTTCAATTCTCACCATGCAGCTTCAAAACCACTTCTTAATGATAAACAACGTCAAAATCATCTCGAATGGTGCATTAATCGAAGGCATTGGTCTAAAAAAATGTGGAGATCTGTAATATGGAGTGATGAAAGCCGGTTTACTCTTTTTTGCAATGATGGACTAACAAACATTTGGCGTAAAGTTGGAACTCAGTACAATATTGAAAATTTGACGCCTACAGTAAAACATGGTGGTGGTGGAATCATGGTTTGGGGATGTTTTTCAGCAAAGGGATTAGGACCATTAGTTAGAATAGAAGGGAAGATGAATCATAAAGACTACATTAATATTTTAGAGGATAATTTGCTACCATTCATCCAATAAAATTACCCTACAAATCATTACAAGTTTCAAGATGATAATGCTCCTGTCCATATTGCAAAGAATGTGAAAAAGTGGATGTCTGAGAAGGGGCTCATCCTTCTTGAAAATTGGCCTTCTCAGTCGCCAGACCTTAATCCCATTGAGCACTTGTGGGATGAACTTGGCCAAAGATTAAAAAATCACCTTGAACATCCAAAAAATTTGGGAGAGTTGGAAATTTTCTCGAGACAAGAATGGGAACAAATTCCTTGCAAAAAATATTTGAATTTGATTGATAGTATGCCCAGAAGGATAGAAGAATGTATTGCCAACAATGGTTGGTCAACTAGATATTAAGATAGTAAGAAATAATATTTTTTCGAAATCGGAGATAAAATTTTATCTGTTAAAAATTGATCATCCATTTTATAATTTTTATTTTTAATTTTTTCATAATAAAAATTTCGCAGAATAAATATTTGTTATTAATAAAAAATTTTCTCAAGAACCAGAACTTTGAAATGATGTAAAGGACACAAATATTTATTTAATATAATTTTCAGAAAACTGAAAAAAAATTATGGGCTAAAAATTTTTGCCGAGATAACAAAAAAATTGAACTA